CCCCAAAACCCCAAAACCCCAAAACCCCAAAAGCAATCAGTTAGATTAAGTTATCGATTAAACTAAAAATCATTTGACTAATATATATCAATTAAAATTTTATCTCCAATATACTTTCATAATACCTCATTTAAGAATCTGATGAACCTTTGAGAGTAAATCTCTGGCTATTGGCATGATGTTTCGTGAGCATTATTCCAATGTTTGATTGTGTTCCAGGTCGTCTCTAATTTTTTTGCAGTATTGTAGTCAGTTAAGAAATCTATTACACCCAACTTGTATCTATATTCTTTATCTAAGCTAAGATAAACTCCAGCATCAAACTTGTATTCATTAAAGCAGCTCTCAATAACATATTTATCGGCTTCATGAATAATACTCTCTTTGTTTTAGTCTTTTCTTGAATAAACTGATAGACCACTTTCAAGTCTAAAACCTTGATTATTATAATGCTCTCTCTCATTCAAAAACTCCTAAATATCATCAACATTATTAGTTCTGTCAGCAACATTAGTCTAAATATCTGTTGTGAATTTTAAGTCCTATTTATAAACAATCTAGCTTTTGCTTTTAGACATTTCTGGCATTATCTGTATAGATTTTGAAGTCCTTTTTGCTTTTTTCTTACCTTGAGAGTTTATCTATGGGCTAAATGAATTAGTCTCAGTCATGCCAGGTATATAGGGGACAGTCTTGAATGGAACATTCTGAATTTCCAACTCATCAGTTTCTCTAAGCTATAACTGATTCTCACCGTTTTTTTATTTAACATATACTATTGCTGGCATCTTTTACATCTCTGAGGATTTTTTTGCATCAACATTCTTAGCTTTGATAAAAAGTAAGCTATAGTCCATCAGATTGTTTTAACTCAGAAATAGACTGTCTTTTTCAAGGATATTTAAGATTTCATTTCTCTTATGCTCAGGCACTTAAAGTTTTTCTCCCAAGTTGATAAAATTCAAATCCTTAAGAACTTTAAGCCCGGATCCGGTTTTTATTTCATTTTCACTTAGATTAACTATTCTCCCTCTAGTTGATCCCTTCAGATCAAATATTCTCTCTATGTTAAAGAAATCTTAGCCTAGCAAATTATCCATGATGAAACAATTGATTTCTGCCATATTTCCGACCCTAATTTAATAAACTCCATAATATCTAGACAAGATAGTATTCGGGTTTTAAAGTATGTGCTCATAATAGTTTTCAAGTAGATTTGTTTCTAAAAGTAGTCTTTTCTCACTTTCTTTAAGAGTCTTTAGAACGAAAGATTTGTTGTCTGCAAAGAAAAAGAAACTTGAAGATTTTCCTGCACCTGTGAAGAAGTTATGTATGGCTTGAATATTGTGGATGGGAATGAAAGAGTTGAAAAGCAAATCATCTGAAATACCAAATTTCTGTCTAATAGCGCTAAAAGTTGCAGGAGCAAATTCTATTATCTCAATTGTGTTATTTGTTGGACCAATATCATAAATCAAATAGTCATTGAAAGCATTCATAAAATCAATCAAGTCTATCTAATGCTTAATGTTGTCAAAACTCTTTACAGAGGTATTTTTTTCATTCTTTTTTTAGGTTTTGTTTGTAACCCCAGAACTAGTTCTTCTAGGATTAGTACGTTGCTTAAACACAGCACACATTCCCATTAGAATGATATTGATAAGATGGAAACTAGTTTTGAGCACCAGGGTCGTTTACTTTTTTAGAACTGATGGGCTATACTTAGCTTTAAATTCCTCATCTGTCCAATATCGATCTATTTTCTTCTAAGTTTGTCGATTCATCATCTTATTAAAGTTCACTTTCGTTTCAGTGCTGGTTAAAGCATCACCTCCTTGAGTAACATCATCTTCTAAATCTTCTTTTATATCTTCTAATTAGTAAGGATTCTTAGTGAATTTTCTAGTATCTCTATTGGTAATTATTCCTTATGTTGCCTAGTTGAATAGTTTATTAAAGCAAATATGCATACCTCTGTGGAAAACTCAGATTCTCTCTTTGTATGCCAGCAAAACCTGAATTTTTTTAGTCTTTCTGGTGAAATAGCTAGAACAACAATCAGGCTGCTTATGGATAATTATTGCATAAACATTACCAACTATAAAAATGATATGATTCTCAGAAGTTATTCAAATTTTATCCTTACAAGTCTTATAATCAAATAGCCAGGCTAGTCTACTAGCTGATCGTAGTCTTTTTAAGCAAGACTAAAAACTAATACTAAAAAGAATCTTAGCACTACATAAGTAATCTAAAAGATCATGTAAAGACTCCATTGCTTGATAAATAGCTTAACCTATGATATAAACTATTAGTGAAAGTTGTTTACGCTTGTTTTGATTAGTTTTGGGACCTTGAATTAGAAATGAATAAAATGATAAGCATTCAAAGGTAGAAAAACGATAGGCCAGCAGCGAATATAATCACCAAATGTTTTTTCTGATTTCAGAGCTATCCCACAAACAAGTGTTGTCTAATTTAGAATGATTTAAAAGTATGTTACAGATAATCCAAATCCGAATGAATAGTAGATGCCCAACAATGCACAAATAGATACCAGCACAGTAATTGCATGAGCAGTGATATGCAATATTTTAAGATTATTTGTAGGATTATTCACTTTCCTCAAGACAAGCATTGAAATCCATAATGAATAGTTGAAGGCACTACATTCAGTAAAAAAGTTTAAAGCCCCTGTTATTTAACACATCAGTGCTTTGGATTAATAATCACTATTTCCCTTATTAAGTGATTCCGTTTAATACTTATATATCTGCCTATAATGAATCATTTAAGTATAATGTAAGTTACGGGAGGTCTCCAGAAAATACAAATACTTCCAGCATGTTGTCGAATGCCCAGATCAACTCAAGAGCTAGTATCAAATGAAATAGATATCTGAAGTCCTTCCTAAAATATTAAAGCTATGAAACTTTTCTAATTCAATTAAATCTAACTTACATTGTGTTTTCTCGATCTCGGTATTACATGATGAGGACTATTATTCCAAATATTAAATTGGCAGGTCCGAATAGGTATACTATCAGTCTGTCGTAAATAGAGTAGTTAACTTCTGGGCTTTGCTAGCTAAATTGAGAAGTCCCGAAAAATAATGTCTCAATCAAATCCATTCTTCAATTATTATAATCTTTTTGATTTATTAATAAAATATTATAGATTTAAAATATATTAGAAATGAAAAGGTTTTAAATCATTTTTGCAATTCTAATTATAGTCTTCATAAGTAGAACTCATTAGCTGTCATATAAGCAAATGGGTAAAGATTTACAAGAAGCTTAGAGTCTTTATGACCCTAGAAATTTGATTCTCACTTAGAAGTACTTAACTTCTGATTGCTTGTTTGGATGTTATAATCAAAGCGATTCTACTCCAGAGTATTACTGCGAAAATCCAAATAAAGTAGGATACTGCTGTCCTAAATTAAGTTCAGATCCCGAATGCACATAGAACTTAACAGCTAGCATCTACTGTAGCAAATTTGCTAAAATTATTAACGCTAAGTATCTTTATTGCATTACTTTTGAGAGTGCTTGTACAATCGATACCCCCTATATCAATGCTACTGATGAGAATAGAACCATTACTACTACTACTATTTCAGACAGAGGTTTTATGTGCTGGTGGGAACTAAGTCTAGACCGTACCGTTTGGAATTAAAACTTAACTGTTTTCAATGTCTATATCACAGCAGCAAGTAACGTCACTGTTTACGTTGGATGGGCTCTTGGCCGAGAAAATTTGACTTCTTTCCCAGGTCTCACTACAATTAGAAACTATACTTATAATGCAACACAAAATGTTTACGTAGCGGCTGTGCCAACGAAGGGAAAACTCTTTTACAACTTTTCTATGACATTCAATATTTAAGGTTCTAAAATTGAGGAGGATATGAGTTTTGAAAAAGCGTTTTGGAGTAAGGCAATAGGAATCATAGCTGGCGTTGGAGTATCATTAGTTGCTGGAATAGGTGGATGGTTATATTACCAAAAGTATGGCACTAGTCATTGCAAAAAGAAACCAAGGGATCCAAATGCATAAAAGCAAGTTAAGGTTCCTTAGGAGCAGTAAGAGATGAGAGTTCCTTAGGATAGAAAGCAGTTTAAGAAAGTCTCTTAAGAGTAGGAATCTGAAATGGTGGAGGATGAAGATGAGGAGGAGCCACAAGAATTAGAAGATTATGATGAACCTTAATAGACTAGACAGCCTAGACAAGCGCCTGAATATGAAGGTTAAAATAATGGATTACTGCATAATGCCTATTATCAAAACCAATTAATTATCTAGAATCTCAAAAACTAACTATATGTAAGTTACTAATTACTAACAATTTATTTTAGAGTTGAATTACAAGGACTTCTATGTTTGTATATATATTTATTAGTTAAAACTAGATTTTTAATATATAAATCAGAATTATAAGAATTGAAATCAGCATAGAATCATGGGGTTTTGGGGTTTTGGGGTTTTGGGG